AATAGACTAGGACATGCTTCATGTTTTAAGATTCAGTCTCTGAGACAGTTGGAACCTACCATTCAAATCAATAAAAGCTTGGTCTGTGATTGTTGCCACTTTGCTAAACACAAAAGGTTGCCATTCCAGAATATCACTTCTATTGCTGCTAATTGCTTTGATTTACTACACATGGATATTTGGGGACCTTACAAGGTGGCCACCATCCATGGACATCATTTTTTTCTCCCCATAGTAGATGATCACAGCAGATCAGTATGGGTTTACATGATGAAATTGAAGTCTGAAACCAGAAGTCTGATTACTAACTTCTGCAATCTAGTTGAAAACCAGTTTGGGGCTAGAATAAAGTGTATAAGGTCTGACAATGGCCTAGAATTTGACATGAAGGGCTTATTTGCTCAGAAAGGAATCTTACATCAGACTTCCTGCACATATACCCCACAACAGAACAGCAGGGTTGAAAGGAAACATGGCCATCTCTTAGCAACAGCTAGGGCACTCAGATTCCAGGCCAGCTTGCCTGAATGTTTTTGGGGTGAGTGTATACTGCATGCAGCATACTTAATTAATAGACTGCCCTCTATTGCCATTGGTGGTCCGATTCCTTACCAAGTCTTGCTTAAAAAGGCCCCCCAATATCAAGATTTGAAAGTCCTTGGTTGCCTAGCTTATGCAGCTACAATGGGACCTAAAGCAAAGTTTGATACTAGAGCAAGGAAATGTGTGTTTCTTGGTTATGCTTGTGGCACAAAAGGCTATAAACTTTATGATCTAACAACAAAGGAGTTCTTCCTGTCTAGAGATGTAACATTCCATGAGAATGTTTTCCCTTTCCAACAAAACATCAGTCAGATAAGGGAGATTCAACAAATAATATTGCCAACCATGAAAGGTGATACATTACAGATGCTTGAAGTCCCAGCTCCTCCTGTCATTCAAGATGATGCAATACAGATGCCTTCAGATGATTGCCAACAAAATTCCTTTCAGAATGTTCACAATCAGATTCAGGATGATGCTTACTCTCTGAATCATTCTCCTAGTCAGTCACCTGAAAACATACAGGATCTCAATCATCCTCCTCTGAATGTTCAGCAACAAGCTACTAGGAGATCATCTAGACAGAAGCATGCTCCCACTTACCTGAAGGACTATGAGTGCCATAACATTGCAGCAAAAACCTCACCTCACATTATGGATAAAGTCATGGATTACAATAGACTTGGTCCATCCTTTCAGGCCTTTATCATGAACATTTCAAGCCACACTGAACCTAAAACCTACAAGGAAGCAGTGCAGCATGATTGTTGGAAAACAGCTATGGAGGAAGAAATTAAGGCTCTAGAAAGGAATAATACCTGGTAGCTAGTTGACCTGCCACCCTCAAAAAGACCCATTGGATGCAAATGGGTATACAAATTCAAGCACAAAGCTGATGGCACTATCGAAAGGTACAAGGCAAGATTAGTAGCTAAGGGTTACAATCAAACTCTTGGCATAGATTATCTTGACACCTTTAGCCCTGTTGCCAAAATGACAACAATCAGAACTCTTCTGGTTATTGCAGCAGCCAAGAATTGACATCTTCATCAAATGGATGTTAATAATGCTTTTCTTCATGGAGATTTGAAGGAAGAAGTATACATGCAATTGCCACTTGGTTTCACAAAAGGGAAGGCTGGGCAGGTATGCAAACTCATCAAATCTCTATATGGTTTGAAACAGGCTAGTAGACAATGGAATAGCAAGTTGAGCATTGCCCTACAAAACCTGGGATTTAAGCAATCCATACCTGACAACTCTTTGTTCACTAAAGGAGAAGGTGCCTCATTTGTAGCCCTATTGGTGTATGTAGATGACATAGTGGTTACTAGTCCTGATTTGGGAAGCATCACTGAAATAAAGAGACAGCTGAATGCACAGTTCAAAATAAAAGACTTGGGATCTCTAAGGTATTTCCTTGGACTGGAAGTTGCTAGACAGGAAAGTGGTATAGCAGTGTGTCAAAGAAAATATGCTTTGGAATTACTTGCTAACACAGGGTTCACAAATTCCAAACCTGTATATAGCCCTACTGTTCCATCTCATAAGCTGAGCAAAGATAGAGGGAAACCCTTGGAAGACAACACTCAGTACAGGAGAATTGTGGGCAAACTCTTGTATCTAACAATAACAAGACCTGACATCAGCTTTGCTACACAACAACTTTCCCAGTTTTTGGATAAGCCCACTGATCTCCACTTACAGGCTGCTCATAGAGTCCTAAGGTATATAAAAGCTGCTCCAAGCCAAGGGTTGTTGTTTCCATCATCCTCTGATTTACAATTAAAAGCCTTTTCAGATTCTGACTGGGGTGCATGCATTGATACAAGAAGATCTGTCACAGGTTTTTGTGTATTCTTAGGTAATGTTCTTATATCTTGGAAGTCCAAAAAGCAGCCTACCATATCCAAATCATCCTCAGAAGCTGAGTACAGGGCCTTAGCATCAACCTCATGTGAAATACAGTGGCTGATATATCTACTCAAAGATCTTGGAATCACTCATAACTACACTGCTGCAGTCTATTGTGATAGCAAATCAGCTATTGCTATCGCTGAGAACCCAGTCTTTCATGAAAGGACTAAACACATTGAGTTAGATTGTCATCTAATCAGAGAAAAGCTAAGCAAATGAGTCATCAAACTGCTTCATGTTCCCTCTGATATTCAGCTTGCAGACACCTTCACAAAAGCTCATTGTCTTGCCTCTTTCAACTCCTACATATCCAAGCTTGGATTGATCAACTTGTACAGTCCAGCTTGAGGGGGGATATTAGGATATCATCATCAAGAAAGCTGATTGCATTCTTCATCAAAGGTCTCAATCTTGCCACTTGTCAGCATCCAAGCAAAGCAGCTCAGCAAGTCTGTTATGTTTAGTTGTAACCTACTGTTAGTTAGCCTAGAAGTTTTAGCCTAGCAGTTTCATCTTCTTTTCCCTCCATTGTTTTGTATATAAACAGAGATTGTATCTCTTTGATCACTAGATGAACAATAAACCTTTTTCTTCCTATCAAAACTCTCTCAATCCTTTTCTGCAATAGAGAACCAAAGCAAACCTGCTATTTGGCACAAAATCATCAAAGCCACCTGGATTTATCTTAGCCGTTAGATGAAACAAGGACACTGCTGCACCACGTTCTTTTTCAAATTATATAGATTCAGGAAAAGGACAATGAAATGTTTAGAAGAAGACAATAGTACAATGTAGCATTATGGAGCTTGTGACAGATTTGGACACATGTCACATTGTGGGTAAAGGAATTATTCTAATTCATGAAGATTACAAGACTGCACTTATTTCTATTTACTTATAAATAGCTCTAAGCTCAAGAAAAGTTTTTTTTTTTCTTTTTTTCCGGAATTGAACAAGAGAATTATCTAAGTGTTGTGCATTCATATTCAAGAGAGTGATACACTAGAGCTATCAACATCTACAAATCACACTATTTTGGTTCAGGTTTGAAGATCATCTGCTCAATGCGACTTCGTGGCTGACAATTGAAAGTGAGATCAAGTGTTGAAGATCAGAGCGGATATTCAAGTAGAAGGAACACTACTAGAAATCAACAACGCTTTGTGGATACTTTCATGGTTGAAAACATCGCTTGGCGCTTCTCGGCACCCAGGGGGGTTAGCCCCTAGGCAGCGATTAATCAGCGCATAGGCGCCCGTGTAATAATTATAAACTATTTAATACTTTAATAGTTAATACTAAAATATTAAATATTAACTTAAAAAAAATATAGAGTTTGAACAATTTAGGGTTATTTTGCAGAAAACAATATCGTTTTGAGTGAAATAATCCATTTTTTTTTTAAAAAGAAAGAAAGAGAACAATAGCTAATTAGCCGACTAGGCGGCCTAGTCGGTGCCTAGGAGGCCTAGGCGGCTGCCTAACCAGCCGACCGCCTAGACCACTAATTATGGTGATACGCTAGGCGGAATTTTTGCAGCACTGGATACGTTTTGTGTGATCTGTTTCACGTCTATCTGAAATGTAATTTTGCATATTCTCTTAATCTAGGATTACTGGTTTAATTTCTTGCAAACTGAATAGCAGACTGATTAAGAAGACTCTCGATCAGACACTCATTCAGATAGATCAACAGATATAGCGTAATGCGGAAGACTAAGGCAGAAAGTAAATCAACACATAAGTTTGTTTACCTAGTTCGATACAGTGTGTATCTACATCTGGGGGACAATCACCGATGCATCCAATCAACTAATTCAGACCAATGTACAAATGTAGAGAAAAATGATCTCACCCAAGTGCTCCACACAAGGTCAGTACCCAGTCTACAAAGGTTTAGTGGATTGTTGAAGTCGGAGAGCCATGCATTTAGAAGTCCAATGAAATCCCTTCAATGGAGAGCTAACTCTGATGCAGTCCGCGTCACTGACGCAGTCCCACGTTGTTCCCACAACTGAGTGATCTGTGCGTCCAATTGTTTAAGCAGTGTTGATTCTTCTCAAGTTCATCTTCGTAATCACCATGAACTCTTTTTCTTGAGAAGATGCATAAAACCAGAGATGTGTATCTTTTTAGTATAGAGTGTTGCGGCTTTAATCAATGCAACCCTAACTTCCAAGAGTATATGTGCTTATATACTTCTTGATTTGGACACTCTCCAAAAATAACTCTGGTTGTAAAAGGTAGGACTTTGTGAAGTAAAAGATCTTGAATCTTCAAGAAGATTTAGTCCATACCTCAAGAGACGATTCGCTGATATTCTTTCCAAAATAATCATCTCATAAACGCGTCTGCCAACTTTTAGAAACTTCCCTTTATCAGACCTTCGGTGGCTTGATCCAGAGGTGGATCTGTTGACTTTACTGATCAATCAGTCTTCTTCAAGAACGGACAGATACCAAGCTAAACCCTATCTTAATTTGCCATAATAATATTGCCAATTACATGTTGGGTTTTTCTTTAAATAATAAAATACTAACATGAAACAATACTAGTGAAAAGCTCTTTGCGATTACAAGGAGAAGAGTGGAGTAGGCTATTGTCGAACCACTATACAAATCTCTCTCTCACACTGTCCTTATATTTAAGTCATTTACTTATCAGTTGATCAAATCTGAACACACACATTGCACTTATCAAGCTATTTTAACTATCAAAACTGCGCTACAAATTTTAAAAGACGTCCACTGTCTATCGCTTGTTATAAGCTAGTGATACGCTATGTTTGAAAAACGTGTTAAAGAAAAAGTTTATAAAAGTCTATTCAACCTCCCTCCCCCCCTCTTTTACCTCCCCGGGACTAACATACATAAGGGGCACGACATATACACGGTGAAACAAGGATATCAAAAGCTGGTGGATGATTACACTGTTGATTATGTTGGTGAATTTAGCCAATGGTCTCCTTTGTGGCGTTTACAGGTTCCTCACAAAAGTAGATTTTTTCTTTAGCGTTGTGTTAGATTAATTCTTCCTACAAAGGTTGCCTTGTGTGGTAAATGGGTTGATATTGATGTGTTTTGTCCTATGTGTGGTCTTGATGACGAGTCAGTGGACTATTTTTTTCGGTTTTACGGTCGGTTATTGATATTTCAAGAGAAAACCGATAACCAACCGAAAAACTGAAGATTAATTTAAAAGAAAATGTAAGATAGAGGTGAAGGTTGCACTGTGGGCGAGTTAGGAACTGAATTTGGATTACACGACCTACCTCCGTAAACCTCACATAGCTGTAGCATCGCTCCTCCACACTGCCACGGCCTATGAGCAGTGTTACCTTATGCTCCCAGGTATTGGTAGCGTCATTTTTGGCCTCCCAAATGGCTTATAACACAGCAGCAACACATCTAATTAACTTCTTGTTGATTCCAACCACCAAATATCCCCTCCAACCAATCAACAAATGTAGTGTCTCATGTCCAAGACATTCAAATTAAAAAGATTCCAAACTTCTCTTCCACATTAATGTCCATTTGCTATTCACCTTATTAAGCTATGATTAATTGGACCTTGTAATTTAGGCCTAAATAGTTGATAATGAAATAAATATAATAAAATAAATTTAGCAATTTTACTTTAAAAATTCGGTTATATTGAACCGACCGAAAACCGTCTATTTCGGTTATATTGGTTGTGAAGATTGGTCGGTCATGAAGGTTCGGTTAAAATTTCGATTATTAACCGAAAATCGACCGAAACCGACCAATGCTCACCCCTAGGTATTGTGCTTAGTGATTGTAAAGCTTTGGCTTCTTTGTTTATGTCGTGTGACTTTCGATTTATCCATTGCTAACTGAATACGGTGACAGATTTTCTAGCAGCTAGAAGCAGTTATGAGGCCTACTCATCTTGGGATGGGTCGGCTCTTGAGTTTATTGTAAACTTTTGTTCTCTTGTTGATTAATGAATGCTTTGGTCTGGATTTTTTTTTTTTTTTACATTATGCTTAAATTTATTTGTTTTTAACTATTAAAACATCTATCTATATAATTACCATTATACCACTACCTTTTCAACTGAATTTAACACCATTGATTATGATTTTTTTAGACAATTGTGATATGTCCACATGTACACACTTTAAGATGCATGCAATATTATTCTTTCTTTTTTTTTCTCTCTCTCTATTAAATTAGAATATGCGAATACAATTTTACTGTGAAAATGATGAGGATTGGTATTTCTGAATAGAATACATACAATAGTATATAGAGATAATAAAACAGATAAAATAAGAGTCCTAATACAATATAACTAGTCAACACATAATAGACTCCTAACACTCCCAATCAAGCACAAGGTGTATGAGAAAGAACATTGAGCTTGCCACGCAAATAAGTGAAGCGAGGACCCGGGATAGTCTTAGTGAAAATATCTACCAGTTGGCCATTCGTAGAAATAAAATGCACCTACAACTCCTTCTTCACCACCTTGTCACGAACAAAGTGATAGTTGATCTCACATGCTTTATGTGTGCATGAAACACCGGATTAGCACACAAGTATGTGGCGCCCAAATTATCACACCAAAGAGTAGGCGTCGACGGAGGACTTAAACCAAGCTCCTTCAACAGCGACACCAACCAAGTCACTTCTGCAGACACATCGGCAAGTGCCTTGTACTTAGCCTTAGTCGAGGAATGCGCTACAGTGCGTTGTTTACGACATGTCCATGACACCAAATTGCGACCCAAAAATACAGGAAAAACCACTGTAGACTTCCAGTCAGCCGGATCGCCAGCCCAATCCGAATCTGAAAAGTCATGAATGTTAACCGAAGAGGACTTACACACATGCAGACCATAATGAAGCGTACCTTTCACATAACGAAGCACACTCTTGAGCAGACCCCAGTGCGCCGTATTCGGAGCATGCATGTGCACGCACAACTTGTTCACCGCAAAGGATAAACCAGGCCTGGTCACAATGAGATATTTCAGAGCACCAGCCAGGCTACGGTAACACATGGGATCAACATAAGGAACGTTTGTGCCGTCATAAACCCTAGACAGAGATACCGGAGTAACAAGCGCCTTCTAGTCAACCATCCCAGCACGCTTTAAGATGTCGTTCTTATAGCCCTGCTGAGACAATAGCAGACCGCCATGCAAGAAAATAGTCTCAATACTTAGAAAGAAAGACGGGGCACCCATGTCACAAATCTTGAACTCAATCCCCATCTTATGAACAAGAGTAGACACCTGAGTCGAGTCAGACCTCATCACTAGGATATTGTCTACATAAACAAGTAGATATAACCGCATAGAGCCACGAGAATAAATAAATAAAGAGACATTTTTTTAGACGGAGTGAAACCAACCGAAACCAAAAAGGTGTGCAGACGATTAAACCAGGCCCGAGGAGCCTGTTTGGGACTGTACAGCGACCACTGCAACAAACACACATTATCCGACATAGATTTATCTTCGTACCCCGGTGGCTGCCTCATGTAAACTGTTTCAGCAAGATTACTATTGAGAAATGCATTATGAACATCTAATTGTCTAATAGTCTAATCACACGAAACTGCCAAGGCAAGTAGAAGCCGCAAAGTGGTCGGTTTGACTACCAGACGTCTCAAAGAAATCTCGCCCGGCCACTTTATTAAAGCCCTTAGCCACCAGACGGGCCTTATAATGCTCCTTTGTACCCGAAACACCCATTTACACCCGATGACATTCATCCCAAGCGTAAAGGGAACCAACCGCCACGTCTGATTCTGCAGCAATGCATTAAACTCGGCGTCCATCGCTTCACACCACTCAGAGTGCACCAAGGCCTGAGAGTAACACGTCGAGTCCGGAGCACCAACCTGCGCCACCAAGGCAGCAAACTAATCACCAGACCGCGACGTGCTACGAGTATTCATCGTGTGCTTGCGCACTGTCGACCTGCCGCGACACACATGCCCGGAGGCAGCTACCCGTGACTCAACAGCGCCAACACCCTCAAGAGCCGCGTCATAAATAGTTTGTGAGCTAGACACCTACTGGTCAGAGGCACGCACGACTCCGGATGAGGAACTGGACGGGCAGTCAACACCAACACCTTGCATGCATGGAGATGGAGTCGAAACAGTTACACTGCCCATGACCCAAGGAGCAGCTGCAACAGTACCTGAATCCTGTGCATTCACAATAGTAGCAAATAGATACACGGCTTCATCAAACCCCACATTGCGACAAACGAAAACCTTGATATTAGTAAGGTCCAAACACCGATAGCCACGATAAGAAGGCGGATAACCAAAGAAAACACATGGAGTGGACATGTATTGCAACTTCTTACGGTTATATGGATGTAATAGAAGATAGAAAAGACACCCAAATACACACAAGAAAGAATAAGTATGACGAGACTTATGGAGACGGAAGTGCGGACTATCATTATGCAACACACGGGTAGGAGCGCTTGCGTTAATTAAATACATCGCGGTTTCAAATGCATAGTCCAAAATACGAGTGGGAACTGAAGCCTGAAAGCAAGCCCGTTTTTAACAATGTGGCGGTGCCTGCGTTCTACCCGACCATTTTGTTCGTGGGTATAAGCGCAGGACTGCCTATGATTAATACCCAGAGAGGAGAAAGTTTTATATAAATGCTTGTACTCTCCCCCTAAATCAGACTGAACAGAAAGAATCTTACAACCAAAAGAACACTCAACAAGCAAATGAAATTGATCAAAAATTACATATAAATCAGTCTTGGCACGCATAAAAAAGAACCAAATATAGCGAGTGAAATCATCAACGAACAAGAACAAGTATTTGTAACCATTAACTGAAAGCATTGGCGCTGGGCTCCATATATCAGTATACATGCAAAGTAGTGGACACAACACGAGGTAAAGGAAACCGAGACGATTTCCCTAATTGACAAACCTGACACAACGAAACAGCACTAAGACTAGAAGTATTAAACGAACAAGAATCTAAAATTTGCCGTAGAACTCGAAGATGCGGGTGACCCAGCTGATTATGCTGTTGAGTTTGTCTCATATATGGATTAGGAATAAGTGTTTGTCTCATACTAAGAGTAGGAGTGAAACGGGTAGACCTATTGTATAGGGATTAGATGCCTATAAATATATTGGTTGTATCCCTAAGGGGTAGTGTCACCATATACACCATCACAAATAATAAGAGAATACTTTCACTCCCGTGGATGTAGGCACATTGCCGAACCACGTAAATCTTGTCTTCTTTATCTTTTACTGCCATTATTATTTTTCTTGTTCTTATTAATCTCAACAAATTGGTATCAGAGCATAGTTGAGATGGCTAGTTCAAGTACAAAATTCGAGGTATCAAAGTTTGATGGTATAGGGAATTTTGGGTTATAGCGGTCCAGGGTAAAGGATATATCAGGGCCTTCTGAAAACCTTGAGGGTGGAAAATCCAGCAAATATGGAAAAAGCTGATTGGAAGGAGTTGAAGAAGCAGGAAGCTACGGACGTGGTACATGCTGATGAATCTTATTATAGTGAAGGTGATGTTCTAGCGGTAACCTAGTAACAAGTTCGAACATTGTTTGGACTTGTTGGGAGTTTCTAGATGCTAGATGAGAAGTTGGTGAGGGGCGCTGTAGTGTTGGGCAACGCGGATACCAGGAGGGGTCGTGGACCTGGTATTGATATGGGTCAATATTGGCTCGGTATGAGTCGGGCTTGTCATTAGTCTCGGCTGGTATTGGTATGGGCCAGTATGGCACTAGCATGGGTCGGGCTTGGCATAAGTCACGGCTGGTATGGGAGGACTTCTCGGGACGACGAAGAAGTTCGTGAACATGCACTGGGAAATGTTTGATGCTGTGTTGTGCGTGTTGCTGGCCAGTGGTAATTGCTGGTTAGTGGAGCATTGGGCAAGGCACACGTGTTTAGTGTGACTTTGCAGGGGCGCTGTTGTGTTGGGGCAGCGTGGATACCAAGAGGGGATATGGACCTGGTATGGGCCGGATGCAGGAAGTCAACTGAACAGGGCAGTTAGCATGAGTCGCGGCGGTATAACAGGTCGACGGCTGAGGGGCGAACGGCTTGGAACAAAGCTGTTCGTGTACATGTACTGGGTAATGTTTGATGCTGCGTATGCATGTGGCTAGCTAGTTGGGATGAGCATGGTTGTTCCTACCCATGTGTATATGTGAGATAAGTTTTTTCTCCTAAGGGGCATAATTGTGAAGGTGAAGATGGTGAGATAAGTCTTTTCTCCTAAGGGACATATTTGCTAAGGTGGAGATTTGTTGAGTTATTTTTTCTCCTAAAGGACATATTTGCGAAGGTGGAGAAGTCTTTTCTCCTAAATGGCATATATGTGAAGGTGGAGAAGGTGAGATAAGTCTTTTCTCCTAAAGAGCATATTCGTCAAGGTGGAGAATTGTTGAGTTATCTTTTCTCCTAAAGAACATATTCGCCAAGGTGGAGATTGTTGAGTTTGTCTCATATATGGATTAGGAATAAGTGTTTGTCTCATACTAGGAGTAGGAGTGAAACGGGTAGACCTATTGTATAGGGATTAGATGCCTATAAATATATTGGTTGTATCCCTAAGGGGTAGTGTCACCATGTACACCATCACAAATAATAAGAGAATACTTTCACTCCCGTGGATGTAGGCACATTGCCGAACCACGTAAATCTTGTCTTCTTTATCTTTTACTGCCATTATTATTTTTCTTGTTCTTATTAATCTCAACATATGCCAAACAGAAGAAGAGGCACGAACAGCCACAAACACAGCAGGACTCTGACGCGAGACAGGCCAAGAATAGAGACCGCCCGAAGCATGACCCTTAAATAGGACTACCCTGGTTGAAAGGTCCTTCATAAAGAAGCAAGTATGGTGAAACTCAAAAAATACAGAATTATCTTTAGCAAACCGTTGGACAGATAATAAAGACGCAGATAACCCAGGAACATGTAAAACATCAGACAACCTAAAAAACCTATCAGAAGCAGCTACCGAAGTAGAACCAATACTAATAATAGGTAAACCCTTACCGTTGCCAACCCAGAGAGTATCCGAAGTAGTATAACCGGCAGCCGAGGACATCACCGATGAGTCAGGAGTAGCATGGTTAGACGCACCGGTGTCCGGGAACCACTAACGAGACCCAACTGAACTGGCATCATCCACCTGATAGGCCATGTGTGTCTGTGGCCCCGGGGCTTCACTATACTGCATGTAGCACGTCAAAGGCCGAGTGACCACTCCCGGCTCAAATTTGACACCGCACACCAGAGCGGTTTCGACCACGATCGCGACTGCGATTGCGCCCACGACCGCCACCACCTTGCTGTGACTGCTGCCCTCGACCATTGCCGCGCTGAGCCGCCATCGCCACTGGACCTCCAGCCTCAGTGCCATCATCTGCACATATAAATTCCCGTGAGAGGATAAAATCCGAGAGCTCACTCAAAGTCACCGGAGCACCCCTCGTCAATGCCAAATACGACTGGAATTCAGGACGGAGATCACTGAAGACATAGGTTCTAGTCATCCAGCGCCACGTCCTTGTCGGCCAACGCCAAATTTTCCATTATCATCTGCGCACGGCCGAGGTAATCCGAGATCGAAGCTTCACCTTGCCGCAATAACTGGAGCTGCCCTAAGAGACGCGGGGCACGAGCACGGGTGGCCGACCCCAGCGACAACTCAATCGCCCCCCATAATTGACGCGAGGACGACTTCCCAATAGCCAACGACATCATCTTCTCCGACAGCGAGGAGATCAGCAGAGAGATGATCGCCTGATCCTAACGCAACCAAGCAGTCCAAGTCGGTAACGGAGCCACCGCGTCGCCGCCAGCCTGAGCCGCCACCGGCGCCGCATCCTCTGAATAAGACAATGTGTCGTCGACAAAACCGAGCAGTCCTTGGCCGAGAATAAACGGAACCATCTGTGTACGCCAAAAAAGATAATTCCGAGAGGTCAATTTGATTGAAACAAAATGATGGGCGGAGGAGAGGGAATTACTGGGTTGCAATGGGGCAGACACGGCCGCCTCGGAGACGGTCCGTTCAGAAGAGAGTCTGACAGAGCCGTCATCATTAGCACCGATCGTTGCCATGCCAATAACCGTGAAACAACTGCTACCAGATGAGGATTGGTATTTTTGAATAGAATATGTACAATAGTATACAGAGATAATAAAACAGATACAGAGTCCTAATATAATATAACTACTCAACACATAATAAACTCCTAGCAAAAACTACATATTTTATTATCTTTATGCGAAGAAAATTTTACTGTGAAAACCACACATTTTATTGTCTTTATTTATGTATCCCTTGGAACTTTATGCCTACTTGTCATCATTAGTGAATAAGTTAATTTCATGTGAACGCAAATTACGGTAGAAAATTTTGTCTTCAATATTTGAACAAAAGATAACTAAGGTTATATTTGTTTGGGAATATATGATTCTTGTTTGGTTCAGATTATATAATTTTCTTAGAGAATGTCACATAACTTTCACATTAAGTTTTTAATTATTGGAAGAGAATGTGAAATACTCTTCAATTTATTAGATAATCTCACATTACTTTGTCTTATTACTAATTTTGAACTTTTGACATTTTAATTAATTTATTTTATTTACATACCTTAGTTTTAAACCAAACACAAAAATTTAACATTCTCATAAATTAATATTCCCTAAGATAATTTAACATTTCGTGAACCAAACGTTCCATAAAGACGTTCACTTGAACCCTTACCTTACGCAACTTTTCATAATTAAATTCAGCATTCAAATTCCACAATTTTTTTTGAAAAGACAAATAAGAAACATAATGCATGTGCTGTGGAATTCTAGAGTGTCTGCGGCAAGTCTTTTATGCATTACCATTACAAAACTAATTATGAAAAATAAATATTTAACTTCTAATCAGGTTAATTTTGAAGACAATGGAACATTTTAATTAGGGGTGGATAATCCGAACTAACACCCAAAATCCAAACCCAATTTTAAATTTCTGGTGGATGCGAACAGTTATCCGTTCAGACATTTTAAATTTTGGTATTTCTAAATATAAATTCAGTTTGGATATTGGGTTTTAAAATTTTATTCATATTCGACCCGAAACCTGAACTAACCGTAATTTTATTATAAATATAATAATATAAATTTTATATTTAGTTTTAAAATAATTAATAATATATTAATTTTCTAAAGTATCTTAATTTTTTTTTTTTTTTGAATGCTACTAGCTCTATTACATTGTAGTATCTGTTCATATACTTTCTCAACCTACTGAAACACAAAGAGCCAATAACGCCTCCACTGAGGCTCGAAATCACAACCTTCCACTTGGAAGTCCACCCCGGATACCATTAGACCACATAGTCCTAAAGTATTTTAATTAATTATTAGTATTTGTCTTATTTTTAGTTTGATACTATATGAAAAAATATAAATACAAAATAATAAAATCATTTTTTAAAAAATTCAAAATTGATAAAATAAAATTTTGGGTATATCCAAACTAAATCGAAATAAATCTGAAAACATTTCACCCGATTCGAATATCTGGCGTCAAAAACATCACTCAAAATTTGGGAATATTCGAAATAAAATTCGGGTATCACCCGAACTGAACCGACGTTCACCCATAATTTTAAGTAGTTTGAATGTAACACTTTTTGTCTTTTTCTTTTTTTTTTTTAAATACTTATGAGGCACAATTATACTATCTGTTTTGTTATTTAGAGGCCAAATTTTAGCTCTTTTTCCAATCTCTTTTATTATAAAGTTATTTTATAATTTTTTAAAACTTTTAATAGACAATATTTTACTTACTTTTTTTTTGGAATGCTACTATCTCTATTACAATGTAGTATCTGTTCATAACTACTTCTACTTTCTCAACCTACTGAAGCACAATTCAATAACGCCTCCACTAAGACTTAAACTCACAATTTCTCATATGGGAGTCCAACCCGAGTGTCAATACTTTTATTTACTTTGTAGAGAGATCAATATCAATTTAATTTGCTACAAACACAACAATCGGTCAATCAGTATGTCACTTAATATTTCAATCAATCAAATTTAAATATTGATTTTTAAAGAAAAATGATTTATTGACTAAAATGAATATTCACTACTGGAAATTATGGAATTTTCGACCACCTAAAAATGATTTTAAATTAAGTTAATACTAAAAAGTCCAAAAAGTGGTCGGAAATAGCAACAAAGGTTTTTCCGGATACCAAAAGTGGTCGGAACAAGGCTTTCAACTTGATTTAAGATCACTTTCAGGGAGTCGGAAATTCCATAATTTCCAGTAGTGATTAAATGAAAAAAGGAAAAGTTAATATTCATTTTAATTATTAAAAGAATTAAATTTAATTGTTTGAAATATCTAGTGACATAACATTTCGAAAACATATAATCAACCAGGGGACCAGTTATGTTGGTCAACATTGTGCAACTATTCTTGTCCTAAATATTCAATTATTCCAAAGGGGCTCATCATGACTAAGACTTGATGTTTTGTAAGTATTTCAAGTGAATCGCATTATTAATTGAAATGACTTGGGAAAAAGAAAACAATTATGTCAGCCATATAACCAAACAGCATGACGCAACAAATACATGATAAATTATTAACTAATAATAGTTTGTGATTTTATATAAAACTAAAACAGAAAATGAAGTTGAGAAAATTTGAGAATTAATTCTTTTAAAGAAGCTTTTCTTCTTCTCCCAAAAGATTGAATCCCCAACCTCAAGGGCTCACACTTTGGTCTGACAGAATATTTGGGAGAATGTAAATCACGATGACTCAATGACT